GGCAGGGGGTGGGGGGACGGTGGCCAAGGAGCTGACGTGGAACCGCAGAGTTATCTGTCAGTGACTCAAAGCTGTCCTGGCTGCTTCAGGAGGCTTTCCGCAAACAGAATGGTCTTTCAGAGTTGAGTTTACTCTTCAGTATTTTGTAATGTTTAGCTTTTTATTAAAAGACGTTATTTTTCGAAGAGGAAGAGGAGAGGATGCAGTTGCTCACGTCGCAACCTATTCTGAAGTGGTTTGAATGGTATCCCTTAGTAACTTGCACTTGTTTAAACAGACGCGGAGTTGGGCCATTGTCAGAACTAAGTCAGGGAAGTGCATGGGTGAGGAAGGCCAGAATCATTCTTAGTACATTGGCTGGCACTTTAGGAAACTGACCATGAATCAATGGACTCATCTTCATTATATAAATACTTACATAGAGAGAGTGAGCATCTATTCCCACCCTGCATTATTTAATCCATCCTGTTCCTAAGTTTTTATAATCTTGCTGTAAAAAAAAGAGAATGTGCACTGAATCTTAAAACATACAAACAAAAAAAGAGAAAAGTCCAAAATGCTTTGTCCTATATTCTGTTAGATCACAGAAGTGGAGGAAAGCATTAAACTAGTCAGTTTTCATTGGAAATGCTGTAAAGATTTGAATGAAGTCCTGTGAGGCCTTCCTCTCTCCAAGTCTATGTATTTTCTGGAGACCAAACCAGATACCAGATAATCACAAAGAAAGCTTTTTTAATAAGGCTTAAACCAAGACCTTGTCTAGATATTTTTAGTTTGTTGCCAAGGTAGCACTGTGAGAAATCTCACTTGAATGTTATGTAAGGGGTGAGACACAACAGTCTGACTATGAGTGAAGAAAATATCTGGGTCTTTTAGTCAGTTTGGTGCATTTGCTGCTGCTGTTGCTACTGTTTGCCTCAAACGCTGTGTTTAAACAACGTTAAACTCTTAGCCTACAAGGTGGCTCTTATGTACATAGTTGTTAATATATTCAATTAATGATGTCTGACATGCTATTTTTGTAGGGAGAAAATATGTGCTAATGATATTTTGAGTTAAAATATCTTTTGGGGAGGATTTGCTGAAAAGTTGCACTTTTGTTACAATGCTTATGCTTGGTACAAGCTTATGCTGTCTTAAATTATTTTAAAAAAAATAAATACTGTCTGCAAGAAACCAGCTGGTTTAGAAAAATTTAGTATGTGAAGATAAACTACAAGTTACCTTGATATTCTAGTATTTTCAGCACTCCATAAATTCTATTACGTAAATATTGCCACACTATTTTGTGATCTTAAAATTCTTACCAAGGAATAAAAACTTTAATATGCAATATGAGATTGTCTAATAATTAAAAAGACATAATGGATGCTCGATTAATTTTAAAATGTCTGAATACAGGGATGAAAGTCATTCCGTTTCTCAAATATACAACTTTGTCACTGGCATGATATCACACGTTTCCAATCTCTTGCGAGCCTACAGGCTCTGGCTGTGTTTACCTGCTTGTTCCCAATGTATCTTAATGAAAAGTGCAAAAGAAACAACTACCAATAACTTGTGTGGTTTGTTTATGTTAGACCCAACTTGCTAATGTTTTTGTGATTGGTGAATTTTCACTTTCATCTTTGACACCAGATAGCCGCTGTTGTAAAGATCTGGTCTGTCTCCCTTTCACTGGGACCTGTATAAATATGCTACCACTTAGGGGTGCTGCATTCCTCCGTGTATGTGAGCTCCTTAACCTTTATAAACTAATTCTCTTGTGGGACTTCATCATGGAATTCAAATAACAGAAATCATTGCTAGATTTTTCTCAAATCTAAAATCAAATTTGTGATCTGATACCAACTGTGTGACGGGTTGTCAATTTTCAGTTTCAATAATGTTCTTTACCAACCCCTTGATTTTTGAAAGGTGTTGAAATAATAGTCAAAATTTATGAGAGGTAGAAAGAGTGCTCCCTCTGCTGACTTTATGACAACAGAACTGCAAGTCATAGAAAGTGGAGCCAGAAGGAACCTCAGAGATGAGTTTGTCCAGCCCCCTGCATTTTATATGAGGGAAATGAAGCCCAGAGATAGCAAGTAGCTCCCAAAGTCACACACTTACCTGGAGCCAGCATCAGGGGCCAGATACGTTGTATCCCCTTGTCAGCAAACCCACCGCTGTATGCATCTTGAACCAAATAAATTGAATTTGGGCAGTATTCATGAAATGTCATGAATAACCTACAGGAACAGATGAAATAAAAATTAGAAATCCAGGATGATAAAATGTTCTGGCATTTGTATAACTTTCATATAATAAAAAACCTTAGGGTTGGACCAGATAGTCTAGGGTTAGTTTAGTCCAAATGTATATATACCTGCAATGGTGAAATTTTAGCCAAGTTCCTTTATAGTATGTGGGATTTTTCAATTTAAGACAAATATGAATCTTGAGTCAACAGTCCTTCTTACATACAGTATTACACCAATCAAGTTTACATACATATATTTCTCAGCAAACTTTATAATGAAATGATAAGTGGCCTTTTCCCCCAGAAGAGCTAAGCATATTTTTAAGGCACTAGAAACTATAATTCGGTAGCTATTTAAAGTATTTAGTTCCTATCATTGTGAAAACTATTTTTCATTTAGTTCTCTGCAGCTGGTGATGCAGGCCAAAACTTTGGTGACTGCCCATCCATCACCTGAGATTTGTTCAAATGTATGTAAAAGAAGTCTCAGCCTGTTTCTATGTCACAGGTCAATTCTGAACTTCTCGGTGGGAGGTGATTGGCAATTGAGGTTCTAGGAAGGCATGGCTGGGCAGGCAAAGACCTTTTACTTTATAGAAATGAACAGAGCCCTCGTGAATGAATTAAGACTATTTGAATGAATTAAGACCATTAGAATGCCAAAAGGCAGCTGTACTATTATGACAATAGTATTTTACTTCAGATTGCAATCTAATGTGTTTCATTAAAACAAAATCTGTTGGCCCCTCAGATCAATATATTTAGGCGCATTCATTGTTTTGTGTTGTTTTAATGAAGTTCAAAATCATCATACAGTGCATGCTGAAGACCAATGAAGGTTCCAGTTTTGCATAGAATTTAATAGGGAGCCGACACGGAAAATTACCACATATTTTCTGTGAGGAAGGTGGGATTTATACTAAAATCTATGTGCAGCATGTACTATAAAAATATGCTCTTAGGAGTTGGACAAATGGACATTGTCTTAAAATTAGGTTTCTTGCACTTATTCAGTGATTCCACATTGAAAACTCCAAGCAAGTGTAAAACTATCCCTTTTTTAAAGTTGGTACTTAAAAATTCTCTTTTTAGGGATGCCTAATTTATCTGACCTCAGAGAACGATATGTGCCCATGAAACACTGGTTCAGACACTGAACTTTCTATGTTCAAGTGCCAACATTGTTTATCGTTGTTTTCTCCTTCTTATTGTAGTGGAAAGCCTACTGAAATATGTTACACATGTCCTGTAAGATATCGTACAGTATGTCTTAGGGAAAAAAATACCCTGTCCATAGTTAGCCTTTCTCAATAATTCAGGGTCATCATTATAAACATCACTTTTGTACTCTGGGTGTCGTCTGGAAGTATTGGCACCTGCATTAAATTCTTTTTTAGTTCTTCTATCTGCTTTTTATAGATTTTTCAGTCTCTACTCATGGTCAGGCTGCCAGCTGTCACTTCTTGATGTGTCAGAGAGCCTGCCTCTAACTCTTATCTAATTTGCCACTTACCCCTGACTTACTGAGGCCTGAGAAACCATTTAACCAAAACCACACCCATTTAAAATGTGTCTAAAATTAGAATAAATAGGCTCTAACAGAGTACCTGTTGGGCACTTCTCTAAATTGTGTGAGCTTGCAGAAACAGTGAAATGTTTTTCCTCCCAACCTTTTTTCATTTCTTTTAACTTTCACATTCTTAGCCATGTTCCATATCAGAACACTATGCAAAAGCCTTCAGGTACTTTATATATTTTTGATCATTTTATTACATAAAAAACCAGCTTGCTCATGGTTTTATTCCACAACCACAAAATAAATTTCCATTCCAGAAATAAATTATTTGATTTGATGAGCACTTCTTTCAAGTTGATCAGAGTAGGAGACTCGGGGTCATTAGTGAAAACTGATTCAGCTCTCACGTTGATTCACGGATGACCCTGGACCCTGCTTCTGGTGTGTCATCTCCACCTCTGGGTTTTGGACATCTTGGTTGGCAGGTGCAGCGAAAGCATTCTGGGGAACTGGCAGGGAGGGTGTGCAGGCCCAGATGCTGCCTCTGAATTTAGACATAGTCACTGGCCAGCCTCTGGGGAGAGGTTTCATACTCCCCGCTGACTGCAGCATACCCCTCTTCTCCTTGAGCCTGTAAATTCAATAAATGGGTGTGGGTTACAGATACTTGTTTTGCTCCCACTATAAGTGTTTTGCTGTGGTCAGTGTTGAAGAATAAAATATTAATCGTCTCAGAAGATCTCAAAGTCTAGTGGGGGTGACAGACCCACCCTAAAAATGGGTTATAATGAAACATGGCAAGTGCTTATTTGGGGGTGAGTACAATACTTGGGAGTGAGGGTTGCTAACTTCATCTGGGTGGGTCAGAGGAGGCTGTTAGAATATCTGGGTTTTACAGAATAAACAGGTACGTGAGTCCATGGGGCGCTCTCCGAGGAGAAGGCTCGGGCACACTCTGGTCCTGTACTAAGAACCAGGACAGTTTAATTGATTATATTTTACTTGAGTCTAAGCAAGGATCTCCTAACTTCTCAGTCTTTACAACTTGACTGTCATACTGGCTCTCACCATCATCTTCTCCTGAGGGTCTGAACCATAAACTGGGACTAGGGGGTCATGGTATGTCCTACTGCAAAGGATATAGCATTCATAGGAAAAAAGAAAAACAAAACAAAACAGTATCTTGAAAGCAGCTCTGTCTCACCTCACCCACCTGTCTTACAAAGAAACTAAGGGTGATTTCTTTCCTTTCCAATAAGGGGAATAACATGATGATGAGAGAGAGAGAGAGAGAGAGAGAGAGAGAGAGAGAGAGAGAGAGAGAGAATCCCAAGGCCTGTTTTCCAAAATCTCTTGGACAAAACTGAGGCAAGCAATGTAGCCCAAGGTCACAAAGCTCAGTGAGTAGCAGAACCAGGATTGGAACCAGATTATTTGGTTGAGCCCACTAGTCTTTATACTATTACCCCACAGTAATGGTAACAAGGAGGGGACAGGCTGCAGTTTTCTCAGGGAATGAGTTCAGTTAGCCCATGCCAGGTCCTAAGAGGCCAAAGTATACTTTGTTGGCGGAGAAGGAAAGATTATCAAGGTACTGGCCTTTCTAAATTACGGCATAGAACATGCAATAATTATGACAGAGAAATTCTGGAATAACAATTTCCAAGGTCCTCTACAAAGAACCGCATGATTTTACTGTCTACTCACTTTGGAGATATCCAGAAATGTGCCTTCCCTGGGTTGGAAGTCCCCACCTGATCTGTCTGATCAGCTGTTCACCTCTGCCTCTAGCCCTCTTACCTCTGCCTCTAGCCCCTCCCCTCCCCCGCCTATATTGTTCCGGCTGAACTCTATAAAGGTTCTCCAGGAAAGAAGGGGTCAAAACAAGTTATGAAGCTGGACAGAGGGAACCGTTAGAAGTGAGAAAGTAGGAAAGAAAACTTGTTGCAGCTTATATGGAATATTTAGGGTACTATCAAATTAGCTACGGTTTCCATGAGAAGCCTTTTGTATATGGATATGCACACGTGTATACATAGAATATCAAACGCTTCACCACGGAGGTACTGAGTATCTGTCACATGCCTCCTTAACATTGCCACTGTACAGGCTCCACACTGCTTCGAAAATTAGCTTTAACAGGCAAACTTCAGCCTGGATCCAATCCCTGAAGATTTGTTACACAGAGTAATCAGATAAGACTCTATAACATGACATTTTAAACTTCTCTTTCTATGATCTCTTAAGGCAGAGGTTGGTTTTCAAGGCTATCCTTCTGAACAGGCTCCTCTGCACAGCTCGCACATAGCTGTGTGATCCTCATATGACCGGACAGGTGAAGAACCCTGACAGCATGCCCGCACCCTGGCGAGCTCTGCAGACACACGTGGGCGTGATACAGGATCTTGCTCAGAGCGCTGTGCCTGAAACCTGCTCGTTGAAAAGCTGCTCAACCCACCCTGGCTCCCTAAACCGTACTTCCAGCGCGGCGGGTGGGGGAATTAAAGCAGAAGTGGGTGATATCAGCTCGGAGAGCTTCAAGCAGCTCTGGGATTGGAAAGAGAGACGCATTCTGAGGTTGCCTAGCGATCAACCTACCCGTGACTTTCTCTGGGAGGCCGGCCTCCCCCTCCCGCCCGCTCCCAGCCCGGCTTTCCTTCCTCCCTCCCCCCCACTTCCCTCTCCCACGCCGGGGTTCAAAGTGCTGCCGCG